GGCACTCACGGTTGAAAGACTTTGCTAGATGTTTTTTTAATCTTTCGTCATCTTTTGTCCCTTTGTTGACCTTGCAGCCAGCCACTGGGAGCCCGAACACGGCAGCGCAAATGGCAAAGACTTCCGCGGCACCTTCGAGCAACCGACCAACCCTCACACCTTGGCATTGCTATTGGAATCATTTGGAATCTATTGGGCCAGCACAAGGACTTGCTAGCAAGAATGCACACCCCCAACGACTTCATTTCTGGGGTCAATTAGCACTTGGACGTGTTCCAAAACAATCCATTGGGAAAGTTCACATGATGTCAGATGCTGCACCGGGTGTCACTGGAATTGAAAGCGACATGGCGGCAGTGTGTCCGCAAACGATTGTGCGCTGGTACGCTGGCAGTGGCTGCGGTCGCGTTGGTTACGGTGATTACGCCCCTTACGCTGACTACGCTGGTCGTGCTGGCTGCGCTGGTTGCGCTGATTACGCCGCTTACGCTGTTTACGCTGATTACGCTGGTCATGCTGATTGCGCTGATTACGCTGTTTACGCTGGTTACGCTGGATACGCTGAATACGCTGGTTACGCTGATTACGGTGTAAGCAGTGTGAAGGGTGTAAACGGTGTAACGGTGTAAACGGTGCAATCGGGGAAAGCAGTGTAACATATATTGTACTGTCAACAATATTAGTCACATCAGGTGACTGGAAAACTGTTAATCTGCAAGGGGGGGCCCGATGCGACGGGGTCACATCAGGGTCACATCAGGTTCCTGTTTACAAGGCGCTTTAGTGTTTGAAACATGTATTGGTTTTATACGAAAATATTCCAATTCCTTTGCGGAAGCAGCAGCAGTAGGCATTTACACCAGCAGCACACCAGCAGCAGCAGCAGCAGCAGCGGCACCCAAGCTCTCAAGCGCACACAGCAGCGGCACTCTGCAACGCGCCAGCACCCAAGCTCCCCAGCACACCCTGCGGCGGCACCAGCGCCCAAGCTCGAGCTCGCAAACACGCAGCTCTTCCTACACTGGAACAACAGCGGCACCCTTCAGCGGCACCAGCACCCACGCTCGAAAACGCACACACGCAGCTCCTTGAAGTAAGAACCCTAATAGCTCACGCTGTCTGTTGAAAAACACGATGCAATGATGCAACAAGGTTGTTGAACCTATCACACAAGCAAGCAACGCATGGGCACAGCACATTAACATCAGTTCGTACAACAAATAGAACAACAACAAACATCCATAGAAAAGCCAATCCCCAAGGGCGCACCATTTTGATACGACTTTCCTCCAGTTGATACGACTTAAAGCGAGGCCCCAGTAGCATTGAAAGAAAGGTTAGCTAGATCATTTGCATGTCGCATGTTCTCAAAACAGCATGGAATCATGAAACCGATGCGACTTCCCGAAGACCTTTCGACGCAAGTAACGGCAACATTTAGTGCAAACCGATGCGACTAATCTATCTGAGAGTAACGGTGTAAACGGTGGAAAGGGTGTATTCGGTGTCAAAAGTGCATTCGGTGTCAGCGGTGTAATCGGTGTCAACGGAGTACAAACGCTGTAAACAGAGTAAACGGTGTAACCGCTGTAAACGGTGTACATAAAATTTGTGGACACTGATTGCGCCAGCAATGGGAATTGAATGAATGGACCAAAACATGACCGATCAAATATGATGCAACAGTGTCGTTGTGGTTCTTTGAATATTATTCCAAACTCTGGATTTGCCATGGCCTGTGATGGGCCAAAGGCCAAACGAATGCGTCGTCTCAAAGGTTGTGCTCCATCCATGGCATCTTTTGCGCCGAACGAAATAGGCCGAGGGAAGCCCCAAAAAATGACACACAAACAACCGCACGATTAAAAAATAAGTATCAAATATGTAATTTAATTAAATAGTATGATAGACATAATGACTGATATTTGCCCCGGGCAGAGTTGTTGCCACCTGTGCTCAAAGAGATCTGAGAAGTAAAAGCCTGGTTGACACCTCCCCGCAGCCATCCGTGGTCCACTCTTTGGCTTGTCGGCGATGTTTGCTACCCACGCTTGACCAGAAATGACTGCAAAACATTTCCGAGACCTAGTAGCATTGCGTATTTCGTGATGACAAGGCTGCTCACTTCGTGATGACAAGGCTGGAACAAAGTCCAAGCAAAGCATATTCATCAGGTGTTTGTCAGGCTCTGAACAGCCAATCTAGCATTGTTGGCACAAGAATGAATGAAGTATCTCAAAAATGGAAAGCCTGGGCCCTTCTAACGCTGGTTTTTTCATCTCATTCCCATGTCTGCTCTCTGAGCTGATCTCGAGGCCACAATCCTTTGCGCCAGCCACGAGTGACGCGGTTGACAGGACACGGCTGGCAGCAATCATGCGTGGGTCACTTCTCTGTAATGTGTCAGGCACAATCAGGTACTACCAACATGGGCGCACACACACTACCCCGATCTATTCCATTCCACCTATGGATGAGCTGCAACCATTTTCGGTACTGGTCCCTGAACCAAATCAGCCTGGGGTCTGGGCAACTCCGCTCGGCTCAAATCCCCAGCATATGTTCACCCGTGCTCAGAGGTTAAAAAGAACGCAACTGATGACAGTCACACTCCCGCAGGACATCAAAACAAAGAACAGCAAATTCGGTGTGCTGCCCATGTAGGCCGATTGTGTTGTAACACCATGTGCTGGTGGCAATGGATTCACAACGGCTGCAATTCATCCGCTCAAGGTGATAAATGATATATGCTTGGTGATTGTACTTATATCATTAATATTTTGCGGCCACAGAAATGTCGGGAGAGGAATCTGCCGGAGGCAACCACCATGAATATCTTGAACAACCCACAGTCACAGTCTCTCACCATCAACCGTTAAGTCCAACTGAGAAGTGTGTATCATTGGTAATCATTGATATACGATGCATAATGGTTGTGATTCGGCATTTGGTCAATGTCTTGTTCAATCTCAGGCCGAAGCATCTCACGTGGCACGGCACCTCTGGATGCCAAAGGTTGACCTCAAGGCGGTCCTCTTCATTGTTCTCAACCAACTTGAGGAACCTGAAAGCCTGGCATCATTTTGGCCGTTTCTTGCGAACATCGAATCTAGACAGCGTGCGCCCAAATGAATAGTGACAGTGACAGGTTCAAAAACAAAACAGAAGTCAAGCCATGCCAGGCCACCCCTTACAGAATAATGAATATGGTCAGTACGCTGGTCGGTGCATCTTACATACTGCCGCAAACGGTGACAAAGGCGAAGCTTCAGAGCGGCTGACCGGCGGAACAGTTCGAGCTTCTGTCCCTTCGTGCCAAACCTGAGGGTTCACAGAAGGCGACAAAGCATGCATTTGCATCAACACTGTTTGAAGAAACTGGCATGCGAACACCTGCCTCACTGGGTGCTTATTTCATCCTATTTCTAGCTCTTTCGCCGCGCCCATCCTCGACTCCTCCACAGTCAGTTGCATAGTTGCATGTACATTTTAAAAGATATACTGAGGTTGCAGTCAAAATGCAACGTTTGATGATTTAATGAGCCTTAGCCATTGACCATGTCTTGTTCCTAAAGGCGTATGGAAATGCCATGCCAAGACCCGAGAGCCTGACATTACGCCAGTCCTGCGGCCCGACGGAATGTGCAGCCCAAGATGGCAGGGGCCTTGGAAGGCGAACTAATATGATGCACTCATGCAGAAGCAGCACTGCCGCCACAAACTGCAACCCACAATTGCACATTACTGACAATTACGGGTCAACAAGCTGACAACATGGGCATCCAAAACGTTTACACACATCTTCCAAGAACATGGTTTTCCGATTGTAACCTAAATAAGCAGGCTTGGAATGGTTTGGAACGTACCTTGTGGAAAAAAAAATGTACACGTGGTCTTGGAAGACATCTCGTGACGTATTGTTCGTGTGTTTTGGTGATTTTTAGTGTGGGTCTCTTGCCCAAACATGTCTTAAACGATCAACAATTAAGGTCGAGGCCCGCAGTGGCTTCGCAATCGTGTGCCCAGAAGCAGCCGAGAGAAGAGTGACCTGAGTGAGCTACTAGCGCTGGAGAATCGGCATGCCGCTAAGCAAATGGATTCCAACAACCTGTCAACATCTCATGTAAATTCTCTCCATCATCTGACTGTTTGCAATTTTCTCTTCTGGCGTCCCAGTTCGTCGTCAACCCGGTCGCGTGGAAACACGCTCAAAGATAAGTCGAAAAGGCTTGACAGCTGACCAGGTGCATCCCGGTGCTCTCAACTCGAAAATTCTTCCAGCGGAAAGGTTCCTGTGCCAAAGAAATTTGGAGGGCTTGCACGGCATCTTAAGCATTTGCAAAAACCACCTCGGCCGGGTCGATTTGGGCGTGACAGCAATCAATGGCGAAGAATTCGATGGACAGCTATGGCTTACAAGGGTTTCTGGCCCTGTGCGGGCCTGATATAGTTGCACCATGTTGCACCAATGATAGGTGCTATGCACGACCATCAAGCTTGCTTGGCCAGGCTCCGCTGCTCTTCTAATATCTTTCAGTTTCATGCTCCAATTGATCCTCGAATTCACGCCAGGGATTTGAATCAGAAAACATGTTGTCAGCTGGTTGACTCTCAACCTGCTGAGAGACGACTGAAATAACACCAGGGAGAAGAATGACAATGACAATATCATTAATCAGAATGAATTACACCCCTCTATCTGCATCTCCAAAAATGACTATCGGAAGGCGTTGCTTCTGCCAGAAGGCGGGTGCAGTGGCCCAGACTGGGAGACAAATATAAATCAATTGCTATTGAAGGTTCAGGGACTCTAGCTTAGACTGGTCAGCACATGTGCAGAACTCCTACTAAGGCCTTGCCAGAAGAAGGACACACTAGCCAGCTGGGAGCCAAATGTATAGAATTGCTACTGAGGAGCTGCCAGCAAGCGGATGCACCCCGACTGGGAGATGAATGTAAAGAATGGCTATTGCTTGTAAAGGCGGACACAGTAGCCCTGACTATGTATTGTCCTGGCAGCAATTGAACCACACACCACCACGACAAAGCTGTTCCTCTTGAAAGTTCCAAACTAATTACAAACCAGTACAAATTACAAACCATTTCCCGGATCATTTCCCCCTAGACATCTTCGAATGAATCAAAACACTAAAGTAACAATCACGTGGCTGGCTCTGCACGGCAGGTTTCTTCCCTTCAAGCTGTTAGGCAAGAAGGCCTGTTAATTCGATCTGTTGCTAACCTCATTATGAATTATATACATAGCTGTTTTCAATATTGGTGAAGAGTTCTTCAAGGAGCCTCAAACTGGCTTTGGAGAGGGGCTCACTTGCTCCAAACTGCCTGCTCGTGCGACAGCTCCGTATGTGACATTTACTGTAGATACATTCAGGATCGTTCAGGTACCTCACTGAGAATTCTTCTGATCAATCTGAACTTTCAAAAAGTGGGACTGTGGAGGGGGTCAAGCCATGCTGGATATTTCGATTCGGCACATGATCCACCTGTAGCAGCCAGTAATGCCCAGCAGAATCAACTGACATCAAAGGCTCGATATTTTCAAAGCTTTCCCTTGCACCTCCGTCACAAAGCAAGACTTACTCCAAATCTCTTTGTTTCTCCTTGTCCTGCTGCAGCTGCCATCGCCCTGCAGTTTGGCTGCCTGGAATCTGTGGCTTTGCCTGCATAGGGCTCAATGGCCTGATGAGTGTTTTGTTGAAAGCCGCCTGCCACACTCCAAGCTTGCGCCGGCCAAGCTGCAGCGGCTCTGTGGCAAGTGGAGCGATGTGGCCCCTCACAGCTCCTCCGCGGCGTCAACATACTTTCTTCGACATTCTCTGACCCTTCATTGATCACTGGCTAACAAGTAGGTTTTTATATGGCTTTTGTATCGATTAAACATAACATGATTTCGGCACGTCAAAAAATAGGTCCTCCTGTGTGGATAGAGCCAGCAGGATGTTCAAGTTCAGGCAGCCAGCGTCGTACATAGGATTCATCACGCAGTGCTGCGCCTTAGGGATGAAGGCGATTGACATGTTGTCATGCTGAACAAAGCCCCTGTCGGCAGGATCCAACAGCATCTCTGTTGAAGCACTGATTCACAAGCTCCCAAAGAATTGAAGTGCGGAAGCCACCCATTCTTCCAACCATAATAAACACCCCTCAATGCCACTCAACGAAGAAGATTTGAACACCAAGAAGCATAACAACGTCATTAGCTCGCCAAGTCTATCTATATAGATCATTCTAGATCCATATATACATAAAGACACAAAGATCCTATCTCAGGCTTTTCATGACTTCAAAGGTTCTGAGAAACCGATATCAAAAAAGCATAAACAAATAGCCTGGTGCATACAGCAAAAAAAGTAAGAAATCCTAAACCCAGCGGGGTTGATTGACCTCAACTCAGGGCCTCCACTGCCTTTCGCGCTGCATCCACCGCACCTGTGCTCTTGGCTCCTCCCAAAGCTGCTGCGACAAAGCCACTGGTGTAGCCTCAGCTGGGATGCAAAGAATTTTGAAAACATCACATAGGGAAGCCGACAACGTGTTATATAATGTTAGTGTGTGGACTTCAACTTCAGGGAGGTTGAAAAACACAAAGGCCTGACGCATCCATTCATGCAAAGCCTGTGTCTCGTTGCTCGGAGGAATTGAGCAAATGAGGAAGGAACATTTCAAAACATGTCCGTCTGAGTGCGACAACAAGAAGTTACCAGATATCCTGCGGAACTGCCCAACCGTCGCACACAGCTCTTGACTAAATGAGGCACAAAGAAGCGAACAAGCTTGGCCAAGTCACTGAAGAGGTCAAGCACATCCTGGTGTCAAGATACTTTTATCTTTCAGGCCGATTGATCAGGTGTTTTTCATCCTGGATGTGCCTCAATCTTCAAAAAGCTAGCTTGCTGAAAGAAATGCAACATATATAGATAAAAGTGTCCAGTAATGCTTACAATTTCCATAGGCGTTTCTCACTCGCTCAGCTTGCAAATCGCATGTTAGTTTTTGCGGCGCAGGCAAGCATGGTGGCATGGTCAAAGCCCCCGGCCGGCTTGAGGCCCAGCCTAGGGCAAATAGATGTAGGCATTCCGATTCTTTTCATCTCGCTTCAAGAACTCTCTCTCGATCAAATGTTCAATCTGACTCTTGATTTGTGTCGGCTGCGGCTTGAAGAGGGTGCATTGTCTGAAGACCTCCTCCAGAAGGGCATTGTGTTCTAATCGATTCCTGGACTTCATGATGCGCACGATTGCAGCATCAATGACGTGCTTCCTTTCCACAGGGGCCTCTGCCAAGGCAGTGGTTTCACCAGCCTTCTCCTCTTTCTTGATGAGGCTTACTTGCACCTTAATTTTCTCACTGGTGAAGCTGGAGTTGACCTGCAGTTTGGCATCAATACTCAAGTCTTTTCCAGTGCCATCATGCATCAGCACCTTGTGTCTCGACACCTCAGTAGGGAAAGGAACAAAGAATAATAACACAAATAAGAATAAACAACTTGGCTCCCTAGTGTTCGCAGTTTTTGATTTCCCGTCTGACCACGCAGAACCCACACACAAAGAGGAATGCCAGAAAGCAAGGAATCCACAAAGTCCTTGTTCAAACAAAGGGTTTGTGCCTCTTTCTTCAGGCTGAGGTACTGTCAATGACATTACCTGCCGTCTGCATTCCTCCTCTGGCAGCTTGGTTGCTTCGCAGACTTCTTTCAGGGTCACTTCCTGACGCTAGGAAATGGATAAACACATGTCGCAAGGATCCAAAGCATACAAACAAAAGAATGAAACAAATCGTGCATCATCAAAAAAGCAAGCTTGGCATACTTTGAATCAAGCTGATTCCGTCTAATTCCTGTTAGGTGTCTTTTCGGTGATTGAAAAGCATCAATGCCAGGCACTGGTAAGCTGAGACCACCAAGAGATGCTGACGTGCTAAGCCGTGGCACTTAATCTCCACTTGGCCCATGTTGTAGATCCAGCGGAGCTTTCGTCCGTTGTGCTTTGCATGATAGAAGGCTTCGTATGCCCTGATGCAGGTTAACATTTCCTGACAAGGTACCACCGGTGCATCATCCGCCTTCTCTGGCCATGCATTTGTTTGCAGCACACGGACCTCATGAGTGACCCCTCCAGGAGAGCCACTGTGGGAACCTTTCATGTATTCCTCCTGCAGCTGATCGCTCAGGGCCATGTCTGTGAACATCGAAGCAAGCTTTTGAATGGCTTGCTGCCCGCACTCCACCTTGAGCTTCGTAATGAAGCAGTCCTCAGCATCGTTCGAGACAGAGAGCTTGTTCAACAGGCGCCTGGAGAGCGCGCTCTTGTAGATGTCAAGGAAAATGTCTTTGTCTTTCAAGTGGGCAAAAAGGCCGACCACCTGGTTCACCAACGACTGCACCTCGTCCTCATTTCGACCTTTTAAGCCCTTCTTGAGCTGCAGGTCACTGAACAAGGCCAGATATTTGGCACAGCGTGTATCCTTGTTCAGAATGGCCTCCAGGCCCTTGTTCCGGCCCTTCTGAAAGCCTGTATCAGACTCGAAGCAAGATACCACCATGTCGTCAACCTCCTTCTTCAACTCGAGCACTCTCTCGGTGTAGGTGGGAGGGTTGTCGATCATCTGCTGATCCTCAACGATCCGCGAGCATCTCTGCTCAATGTAGGGCTCCATCACCGAGATGAGGTGGGGAAGCATGGTCGGTTCGCGTTTGAAGATTCTGTACCTTGGAGTGGTGAATCTATGCATATGCAGAGATGTTGGCTCTTTTTCATGCTAACCTTCCGAGGGATTCGCAGACTTGGGGTAAACAAACTCAACGTAGACGTAGACTCAGATGGCTTCCGCGCTGGGGATGTTGAAGTCTACAGAGTCTACTGCCTACTAAATTAAATGAATATATAGTTTCCCTGAAAATCCAGGAACTAACTCGCTTCTAGGTTGGAGGCCATCTGTATTAGCTTCCCAGAAAGGAAATCAAGAGCAAGCAAGTCACATGAGCTTCAATTCCTCATAGCGTTGGTTCTGGAACATCGACTGTGCACCTGTACTCATCTCAACCAGCTGCTTGGCGGTGTTGAGGATCAGCTCCATCTGAACCACTCGTTTCAACTCCGTCTCGGATGAAGAGTCCAGGTAGCGGCTCAGCCGGCTTTCCTCATCATCCAGGCGCTTTTGAATCTCTGCAAGGAAGATCGGACAAGAATAGGCCGCCATCCATCCTGCCACTTTGTTGCGGTAGTACCTGACAGCAAACAAATGCTGCTGAAGCAGTCCTTCAAGATGAAAGATCCTACCCGTATGGCAAGAGGGGCCTCAAGAGACTCAGATAAATACAGTAACATTTATAACTGTTCTCCACTCCAACTCCCCAAAGTTCCGCCACTTCAAAGCTAGCTACTCTTGGGTTGCAGACAAGAGCGAGCTTTCGAAGTCGTTCTTGTAAGAGCCCCGAGCTTGGGACTGCCAGAGGAGCCGGTCCGCGGAGCTCTTGTCGATGCCTTCCTTCTGCTTGACAACCTTGGGGCCTGTATCCCCCACAGTGCAAAGCATCTCCACCAAGAGGCGCAAGACATCCTGTGACCAAGTCCCAAACGGCGGCCCAAATGGTCACTAATTAAGCACATAGATCTGGATGGTTTCAGAGCTTCTCAAATCCAACATCGTCCAACACAGTCCGATGGCCACGTTTGATGAACATGGATGATTTTTGGGGTTCTCCATGGTTCTCCTTCGCCTCTGCTCTTTCATTGGCGAAGGGTCCTCGTTAGTCACGTTTCACAAAAGGTACGAAAAAAATGCACGGTGAATGATGGAGAAAGAATTGTTACAGTAGTCCACAGTATATAGCCTATACTGCCGAACCCTTCATGTAATCCTGATTGATCTCGTATCCATCGCGCTCTCTGTTGACTACAGCTACCATTGCCGCCACACACTTGTCTTTGACCTTGGAGTAGACGGTGTCGGTAAAGCACTGAAGCGCAGCTTTGAAGAGATCGGGATGTTCAGTGCTGCTCTTCGTGAAAAAGCGATCCAAGTATTGAAAGACCCGCTGCATCCAAAAGACGAGGATCGTGTTCTTTTCCCACAAATCGGCCAGTGCAGAAAGCAGCTCTTCGCCCGAGACTAGGGCTAAGGAAGACATGGCCTCAGTGCAATAGTCCTGAATGACTTTTTTGTAATAGCTATAAAGCTTGAAGGAGTGCTGTTGTTGGTCGCCAAACTGTACAACGACCGAGTACGCCTTCATGAAGGTCATGTTGTTCCTGTTTTCGAACACACCAGTTCTCAGGTAGGTCAGGAGCGGTTGCACACGCTCCTGCTCTATGAGATGCAGGCCCTGTTCAACAGTCATGGTCTCCAAATTGAAGTCGATGGCATCGCCTTTAGCGACGGGTTTGGTCGTCATGGCGAGCAAAGGAAACCCCAGCACAGCTCTGCCCCACGCAATCGCGGGGACCTACCGCCTAGCTCTTCGGGGTCCTTGTGCCCTCTGCTCTACACTCAGACCCCCTTGTCTAGAAGAGCGGCGTCGGCAAAGAGATGCAAAATGATCAAAATGCGTGGCACAAGCCCTTGCCCACTAGAGCCGCTAGAGATATAATTGAAGCATCTTAGAATCTCAGTCCACATATATAATGCAAAATCGAAGAAACAAAAAACATAATGACGCAGCTTCTTTGTGCCGACCTCGAATAACCTGACCTTGCTGGCTCCAGCATAGCGTCCGATAGCGTCACAGGGCCTCTGGTTCCCTCTGTTCTGTTTCTCCATGCCTGGGCTTGCAAATATAGACACGACTGCCTGTGACCGCGTTTGGCACCACCTTCAGTGCCACTGAGTTGTCGAGATTCGTGTATCCAAATCAGCAATATAAAGAGCAAAATTCATGTTCAAACAAGGAAAGCGAGCAGAAACTCACATGCTACAAATTCACGGGCGAGAGCTTTCCCAGGGCAAAATCTGAATTTTGCCCGCTGGCACACATTGGAATCCCTTCCGAAGAGAAGGAACACATTATAACACATTCTAAGCATTTTAATGGAATAGCCCAAAAGGCGGCAAACGGGGCAATTGAGATGCCAAACAGTACCGGGGGATCTATGAGCAACTTAGCAGCATTATCCCCTTCAACTAACGTAATTAGGCTGACAACTGACACCTCTGTGAGGTGTAGACAGGTCAACAGTTTTGAGAGAAGTAAACTCTGTTGTACACATATATGCTTAACTGCTTAACGATATGTAAATGCCAACATGTGCAGTTTAAACGTATATTTGTAGACAAATATGTTTAAATCTGTCCCTGTTGAGAGAAATGTGTGGGAAGAGTTGAAGCCTGGCCTTGTGAAGAACATCAACCGCCATTGTGAAGGCGCTGGTTTCGCCTATTTGGTCAGCAGCCATATGAAATTCCCAAAGCCTCAGCTTGTCACTACCGCGGTTGTTCTGATCAAGTATGACACGGAGCCTGTGACTTGGTCGATACGAGGAAGTCGATATACAGCTCAACAAGGCTCATCTGTTATTTGAACGGCAGTGACCCAGTTTCCACCCCCGAGGCAGCAAAGCCCACGCAAAAATCCTGAGGAAGGCAGGTCCCCATGCAAAAAGCAGGTCTCCATTTGGGCTTGAAGAATTGCAAACGTGGGTTGACAATTGCGCTTGAGCCCAGCCTTGAGACCATCAAACATAAGGATAGTACTTCAATAACTTTGGGTTTTCGGAGGCCATCTGCCCAAAAACATAATACATCATAATACATCCTTTGATATAGAGAATGGTCTGATAGACCAGAACATGTTGTTTCTACACTTCACAACTGTGGGCCCATTTGGCAACCTTGAGATAAATAAGCTTAATTTTAACAAGAACGAACAGAAGCTTTGCCTTCTCCGACCACCTTATCGTTCTTGGCCCACGGACTGACAGTGACTATCATGGGTTGTTGTCAAGCTTGGACTAGGACTCATCGGGCACAAACAGGGCCATCTTCTAGCTTGGAATACCAGCTCGGCGGTCGCAAATGGCATCCTGTCGACCAACCAGTAAACATTTGCAGTTCCTCCGCCCCACTGACCAATATTCCCGTCTCCTCTTGAGGATCGCAGTCTGAACGGAAAGTTTGGCTAGGAGACTTGGGGATCAGCTCCGCCGCAGCCCTCTTTGGTGAACCATAGCGACACCTGCAGGGTGTCAAACGCTGGTGCTGGGGCCATGCTCGTCTCAAAACAACACCCCATTGGACCCCCCTTTTTGTTTTAGCTTTCTTCTGTTTGGACCTTGTTTCTTGTTTGGACCTTTCTGTTCTTTAGCATGTCTTTCCGGCTGTCATACACCTGAATTGCACCTGTGTGGATGCGACTAATCGAACAGTCACCTGTCGACTCCTTCAAAAGCCTGGCACTCGCCCGTTGGGATATGACGAGTGTAGTGTGTCGCCTTTGCAGTTCTTCCAACTGATGGCTGCATCACACACTGCAGGCCAATCCTAACGATCAAGTGACGGAGCGGAGCGTGCGAGTTGGAGCGGAGCCAATCTTCTGAAGAAAGTCTGCAACTTCCCACATAAGAATGCAGCAACATACACATAATGTGTTCATATGTGTTCAAATTTTGAAACATCTCAGCCATGTTCTGTCAGTCGGCTGGGAGGCACCCAAACCAACGCTGCCATGGCGGACTTGCTAGTTCGATTAGAAACTCATTGTAGTCATGCCCAAAGTTGAGAATCACGGATATTGGAAGATGATCTTCCATCGCTTAGTTTATACAAAGGTGGTCGCTAAGGTCCTGTTGAGGTCTGCCATACAAGAGCAAACATCTTCGGAGACGTACATATGGCCGTGACACTCAAAGCTGGGGTAAGCCTGATTTGTCCCAGCCGGTTGATCAAAGATTCAAGACCGGTGCTTGCACGTTAAAGGTCTAAAGCCACACGCTGCAACAAAAACAAGAATTGACAAGAACTCATGGCTGATAGATGGGATGCTGGGCACGCTGTTCCTGAATAAAAGGGAGAAACTAATTGAGTCCGGCCATCAAACTGATTCCTGAACTTCTGTGGCCTGCTTTAACTAGTCACACTCCTTCCGTGATCTTCATTCATCCCATTCTCATTATATCACATTTATACTGTATATCTTCAAATAATTGCCTTGAAACTGCTAGTCAACTTCCATGTCTTTCTCTTGTCATGGGATCGTGCTTTATCTTTTCCCAAAAGGAGGACTTGCCGCAATCCACGTAAACAAGTCATCTGTCACATTTGGCATGCACTTGGTTATATGACGCGCAAACATCCCGTGGAGTGAAAGAAGTAGGATTGGCAACAAACCTACACGTAATCTTGCGTGGCTTTGCCTCTCAACTCCTTTATTTGAGGAAACGCAAGCCGAAGGAAAGCAAAACAATCTGTATCTGCGCAATTCTCTATGAACAAATAAAGTCTGTTTTGCAGGAACATGTCTGGTTTCGGGCGGGCCGGGCTCCCTTGGGCCCATACGGTGCGGACGTTAATGCTCTGGCCAGCTGGCCAAGTAAACGTGTGTCCTGCACACGTGGGGCAATCCGGGGAGCTTGAGCTTACGGAATGGAAGCAAGTTATATATTTGTATATATGCGTGTTTGTGCCTAAATGGGATTAATTGACAGAAAAAACATCTAGCAAACATAATATAGGCTGTTTGAAGATATACGGTAGGTATATACAATGGTATACATCAGCATGTCCCAAACACACAGTTGCAAACCCTGGTAGGAGCTTTCCAACGCATCAGAACCAACCATAAGCTCAACATGTGGACATAAGCTTCAACTGGAGCGCATCTCACATATTGCATCTGGGAACACGGGTTGCAAATGGATGCAAAGTCCAAGCGTGCAGCAAAGCGTCGTGCCCCGGACTGGCCTAACGAGCTTCTGAAGTATATGATCAGAAGTTGTTGGACATTTCAGAACCTCATCCAGCTGCTCGGTAAAAACATACACAAATATATATGTATATATATATATGCGATATAGACGTTTTCAAACAAATGTAAATATATACACAGTGTGTCCTTACATCCATGCATGCATGCATACATACATTACCTTACCTTACCTTACACTACATTACATTACGTTACATGCTTTACATGCATTACACGCATTACATGCATTACATACATACCTACATACAGACATACAGACAGACAGAACAGAACAGAACATTATTACGTAGTTATTACACTAATAAAGCCAAAAATACATACACACTTACTTTACATTACACTACATTGCATTACATTACATTACATATCAATCATTCGAAACAATACACGCAATACATACAAAACATACATACATACATACATACATACATACATACATACATACAAACATACATACACAAACAGACGCGCACATACACATACAAATACAATACACTACATTGCAGTACATTACAAAACAAAACAATACCATACATACAATACATGACATTACAGTGCATTACAGTACATCACATCACACATTGCAGTACATTACATCACATACATACATATCATTAGACGAGCGTTACACATTATATATTATAGATACTTTTTTAAACCATATGTATTCATGGGCATTCGCCGCCTGTGCTCAAAGAGATCTGAGATGGAGAACCTCGTTGGCATCTCCCCGCAGCCATCCGTGGTCCACTATTCGGCTTGTGTCTTGGCGATGTTTGCCACCCACGCTTGACCAGAAACGGCTGCAAGACATTTCCGGGCATTTCGTGATGACAAGGCTGCTCGCTTCGGCCACAAACCCTTGAAACAAAGTCCAAGCAAGAATATCAGAATATCAATCAAGTGTTGGTCAGGCCCTGGACAGCAAATCCAGCATCCGGGCACCCTTGTTAGCTTAAACATGCATCAAGTGTCTAAAGCCTGGGCCCTTCTAACGCTGGCTTTTTCATCTCTTTCCCGTGTCTGATCTTTGGGCTGATCTCGAGGCCACAATCCTTTGAAACAGCCACGAGTGACACGGTTCACCGGGCACGGCTGGCAGAATTGGCAAATCATTCGTGGGTCACTTCCAGGTACTACCAACATGGGTGCACACACTACCCCAACCTGTTCCATTCCACCTATGGATGAGCTGCAGTCATTTTTGGTTCCCCAGACAGTGTGGACACACTTAGGGGTTCTTACAGTAGTAGAAAAGCAGCTGTGCTTAGATCGCTGGGGCGCACGGGCGTGACGGCTAATTCGTTGCTATTTACAGTACATTCATGCCTTTCAAAATCCTCAAAGTGCATTTCGACTGCGCAGGCTCGCGAAATCTGCATGGGCGTTGTGGCGCCGTGCCCATTTTTGCAAGGGAAGCCTCGTGCAAGGGATTGGAGCTGTTTTACTTCGAAATGCAGTTTTCATGGCAGGTGCAGCGCTTTTGGACATGGCGGTGATCGTCAAGGAGCTCGGATTTCGTGACAGGTGCGGTGAATCGTGACTTTTGGACATTGTGGCTCGTTTGCAGATTTCGTGGCAGGCACAGCACTCTGTGACCCTTGATGTGCACATTTCGTGGCAAATGCAGCACTTTGCCAACTTTGCCAACCTCGAAGTGCAGTTTTCGGGGCAGGTGCAGTACTTTGTGAACCGAAGTGCAGATTTCGGATGATTTCGGCGCAGGCTCACTCTCTCACTCTCACTCTCACCCTCACTCTCACTCACTCACACACGCTCACACTCACACCCACTCCTCACTCACGCTCACGTTCGCACTCACACTCACTCACACTCACTCACACTCACATTCAAAATCACTCACTCTCACTCGCACTCACTCACACTCACTCTCAACTCTCACTCACTCACTCACCACCACCGCCACCGTCATCACCACCATCACCTCTCTGGACCCCAATGCGTCTAGTTCTCTAGACTTTCTGCTTATAGACCTCACACACACTGTTTGGGGTCTCTTGCCGGGATAATGTGTGTTTAACTTAGGAGCTTGTTCAGGACACTTCCAAATTAGCCTGGGGTCTGGGCAACTCCTCTCGCCTCATATCCCCAGCAGAACAACTCACAGGTGTTCAGAGTTCAAAGAGAACGCAACTGATGACAGTCAGACTCACGCAGGACCACAGCAAATTCGGTGTGCTGCCCATCTAAGAATGTAGCAATGGATTCAACACGGCTGCCATTCATCCGCTTAAGGTGATAAATGAATGATAAATGCTTGGTGATTCGCTAAATCATGACACTTTGCGGCCGCGGCCGCAGAAATGTGGGGGAATGAATCTGCTGGAGGCAACCACCTTGAATATCTGAATAACCCACAGTCTATCACCATCAATCGTTAAATCCACCCGAGAAGTGTGTAACATACATTGGTGTACAGTTGTAGATGCAGCATAATACTTGTGATTCGGCAGTTGGTCAATGTCTTGAATCTAAGGCCGAAGCATCTCACGCGGCACATCTGGATGCCAAAAGTTGACCTCAAGGCAATTGCCGAAGCGTGCGCGCGGGACCTCGTCATTGTTCTCAACCAACTTGAGGAACCTGAAAGCCTGGCATCGTTTTGGCTGTTTCTTGCGAACATCGAATCTAAACAGCTTGCGGCCATATGAAGGGCTGCGGGTTTTCTGTTCTCATTTTGGTGTTTTCTGTTCCCGTTGTGTTTTCCTTCCCGGAATGGTGTTTTCAGTGCCTGTGTGCGTTTTACGTTACCGCGGGTGTTTTCTGTTCCCGCCAAAGGGGTTTAATTCTTCCCGCTTTCTGGTTTTACGTTCCCGGAGAGGAGTTTTCTGTGTTCATAAGTATTGAACCACAGTGCCCACCCAAGCGAGCAACCAACCAACGCGCCGAACCAAGCAACTTCCATTTTTGTATCAACCAACCTTCAGCCAAGCATAAAGATGAAGTATCTTTCCCAAGCAGCTGCATGGTATATACAACAACAGTGAAACCAACCGCTGTCTATACTTGGTTCGCATAGCAAGCTCCCGTTTGCTTGAACGGGGGAGGCGCTGCCGCTATAATATGTTTCGCTGTCTGTACTAGGTTTGCATTGCATGGTATATGCAACACACAGTGTAACCAACCGCTGTCTCTATGCAAACCAAGTACAAACAGCGAAACATCGCTGTCTCTACTTGGTTCGCATAGCAAGCTCCCGTTTGCTGGAACGGGGGAGGCGCTGCAGCTATAATATTACTGGGAACAAAAAGCACCCTGGCGGTAACAGAAAACACCCTAGGGAACCTCCCGGAACAGAAAACACGATTCCGGGAAAGGGAAACACCACGGGAACAAAAAGCACCAAAACGGGAACAAAAAACACTAGACCCCCGTAATGAATAGTGACAGTGACAGGTTCAAAAACAGTCAAGCCAGGCCAGGCCACCCTCACAGAATATGGTCAGTGCATAAAGATTCAAAGCGTCTGACCAGTAGAACAGTTCGAGCTTCGGTCCCTTCGTGCCAAACCTGAGGGTTTGCAGAAAGCAACGAAGTATGCCTGCATTTACATCAACATCCTGACCTTGAGCCCAATCAATATGCTTGACAAATTCTGTCTGTTTGAAGAAGCTGGCATTCAAACACCTGCCTCAGATTCTTGACCAGCATTGATGTGGGTTAGCGGGTGCTTATTCTAGCTCTTTCGCCACGCCTCGTGCTCGAAGGAATCATCGAAAACCAGACATTTTCCCTCCTGCCAGTGGCCTCGCTGCAGAAGGCACGCATGTACCCGATCTGGCCCCTTCATACGAGCCAGAGTTGCATAAGGCATAAAACAAACTACGTGTACAGTTGCATGCATAGCTTGCTCTTAAAACTAGTAACAATGAACAACATACAAGCAGTAAATGGCTGACGATGGTCAAGACTGTCGTAGGATGACTGAAAGTGTGCGCATTCCGCACACTGTGTCAATCGTGTTCATTCAATGTCGTGGCCCATCGGCGAAGAAAACCAATCTGTCAAACATCAAAGGACAAGGGAGGGGGAAGTGCATGCAATCTCATCCATACGTGCATGCCTCTCTCTATATGTATATATATATACATGCATGATACATATGTATATCAATGCAAGAGAAAGTATATATTATATATAACTCATATAATATATATGCATGCACACTGTGTTATACATATATATATTACATAATATATATACTTTGTACAGTAACTGAATGTGTGTATATACGCTTATGTACATACTGTATACTGAGGTTGCAGCGAGCGTCTTCGCCACATATAATCCTGAACACATGTAAAAATGCAACGTTTAATGAGCCTATATAACCATTGACCATGCCTTGATACTAAAAGCATATGGAAATGCCATGCAAAGACCGGAGAGCCTGACACTACGCCAGTCCTGCAGCCCGACGGAATGTGCAGCCCAAGATGGCAGGTCAAACGTAGATTGGATGGCCTCGGAAGGCAAACTAATATGACGCACTCATGCAGAAGCAGCACGGCCGCCACAAGCCCAGGGGAACAGTGGAACCCACAATGCATCAGGCGTGTTTTTCACATTAGGGTCAATTACGGGTCAACAAGATGAAAACCTGGGCATTCAAAAAGTTCCTGTTCTCTTTTGGGCACATCTTCCAAGAACATGGTTTTCCAATTGTAACCTCAAATAAGCAGGCTTGGAAGGTACCTTGCGGAAAAATTGTGGACCTGGCCTTGGAAGACATCTTGTGACATATTGTTCGTGTGTTTTGGTGATTTTTGGTGTGGGTCTCTTGCCCAAACATGTCGTAAACGATCAACAATTAAGGTTGAGGCCCGCAGTGGCTTCGCAATCGTGTGCCCGGAAGCAGCTGAGAGAAGAGTGACCTGAGTGAGATACTAGCGCTGGAGAATCAGCATGTCGCCAAGCAAATGGATTCAAATAAGCTGCACAATCTAATGAAGTCATCCGACCATTTGCATTCCTTTGTTCTGGCGTCCCAGTTTGTGGTCAACCCGGTCGGGTGGAAAGACGCTCGAAAAATAAGTCGTTTTTCGTGGCTTAACCACTGACCAGGTGTATCCCGGTGCTCTCGACTCGAAAATTCTTCCAGCGGAAAGGTTCCGGTGCCTAAGAAATTTGGAGGGCTTGATAAGCCCAGGCAAAGTGGAACAATAATTATATACAATCAGCATTTGATCTCCTAATTCAGCTTGCACAGCATCTTGAGCATTGGCGAAGACCACCTCAGCTGGGCAAAACAATTGGTGGTGAATGTCGAAGAATTCGATGGACAGCTATGGCTTACAAGGGTTTCTGGCCCTGTGCGGGCCTGATATAGTTGCACCATGTTGCACCATGTTGCACCAATGATAGATGCTATGCACGACCATCAAGCTTGCTCGGCCAGGCTCCGCTGCTCTTCCAATAATATCTTTCATGCTCCAATGATCCTCGAATTCAAGCCAAACACAAAACGACCCTTGATAAAGCTGCAAACATGTCGTCACCTGGTTGACTCTGAAGCTGGGAGATGGCACACCAACGAGGTCGATTGCACTTTTGTATTTCTCAATGTCAAGCACTGTGGTCAAAGTTTCCAGCTTATATTTATATAGTGGTGGCGACACCGGCACCTTGCAGCTCAGCTCTTGTCCAGCCATGCAACCTCTCTGGTAGTGGCGTCCTTAAGGCCTTGGCCTGCCAACGGCGTTGTGGGCGATATTCCTGGCAGCAATTGAGCCACACACCACCAGGACAAGGCTGTTCTTGAAAGTTCCAAACTATACAAACACACCCTTTCCCCTCAAAATCAATGCCAAGAATAAAGTATGAACCATGTGGCCCTGCCCCAAGAACCCTAAAACATGTACCTGTTAATTCGATCCGTTGCTAGAATTACATAGCTGTTTTCAATATTGGTGACGACATGTGAAGACTTCTTCAAGGATGCTCGTGCAACAGCTCCGTATGTTACATTTAGGATTGACATTTAGGATCATTCAGGTGCCTAAGAATCCTTCTGATCAATCTGGACTTTTAAAAAGTCAAAAATTATTGAAGTCACGCCATGCTGGATATTCGGCACGTGATCCACCCATAGGCACACCTGGTCACACTGGCGTGGCGAAGATGCAGCCTTTCAAAAGCACGAGATTGAGGCTCCAGCAGCCAGCAATGTCCAGCAGAATCAACTGACAGCAAAACCACGATATGTTCAACGATTTCCCTTGCACCTCCGTCACAAAGCAAGACTTAGACTTAGTCCACAGATTTGCCCTCAAACAAGTCTCCAAATCTCTTTGTTTCTCCTTGTCCTGCTGCAGCTGCCATCGCCCTGCAGCTACCTGTGGCTTTGCCTGCAAAGGGCAGCCAGTAAGCACCCTGCAAAGGATGCGAAAACATAATGGCCAATGGCCTGATTAGTGTTTTGTTGAAAGCCGCCTGCCACACTCCAAGCTTGCGCCGGCCAAGCTGCAGCGGCTCTGTGGCAAGTGGAGCGATGTGGCCCCTCACAGCGCCTCCGCGGCGTCAACATACTTTCTTCGACATTCTCTGACCCTTCATTGTGTAAAACAAGAACATTTAAACACAAACGACTCTGGTATTCAATGTACAAAAATCGAACACAGGCTGAACTAATTTATTTAAAGATCTGTAAACGCATAACGCACAAACTGACATCAATGAAGATGGGGAAAATTCAAAACAACTGCATTGTAGCTGTCCAATGTATCTGTTAAACAACACAAAAAGGTGACTGCAAAAAATGCAAAAGAATCATAAATTCTAAAAATAGTCAGTTGTGTGTGTGAGATCACTGGCTAACAAGTAGGCTTTTGTATGGTTTTGGTATCTGATTGACATAACATGATTTCGGCGGCGATGCAATCTCGTGTCAATCAATACGTCCTCCTGTATGGATAGAGCCAGCAGGATGTCCATGAAGTTCAGGCAGCCAGCGCCGCACATAGGATTCATCACGATCGTAGTGCTGCGCCTTAGGGATGAAGGCGGTCGACATGTTGTCATGCTGAACAGAGTCCCAGTCGGAGCTGGACGCAACAGCACCCCTGTTGGAGCACTGATTCACAAATATTCACATATATTATTCACAAGCTCCCAAAGAATTGAAGTGCGGCAGCCATTATTCCCATGCCACTCAACGAAGAAAATTTGAACACCATGAAGCAAACAACCTCATTTTACCTCATTGAGTTTATTTAGATCACCATATAGATCGATTTGATCCTCTCTCTCTCTGGCAGCATCTAACCCAAAAATGCCCATGCCCTCCAAAAATGTCTTGAGTTCTCAGGAAAAGCCAACCGCAATCTCCAAGATTTTCCAAGCTTGAACAAAACACGTACATGCATAGGGCTGATTTGGCTGCCATGGTCTCGCACCAAAGAACGTTTCTGTAGCAATGTGCCTGCTCAAAGGGGTCGAAAATTGCATCACCGATGTTGACCTTAGCAATCGAGGTACGAAAAACAGTCTTTAGTAGCTTCTTGTTACTACTAGTAAGGCACTTGTTCCTAGTAGCGTGGCACTTGTTCCTAATAGCGAACCTCGTTACTACTAGTAAGGCACCTGTTACTACTAGCATGGCACTTGTTTCTACTAGCTTCTTGACCTTAGCTCAGCTTGGTTGCAGCTTCAGATCTTGGTCCCTTCACCCAACAGCATCACTCGAGGCAATCATGATGGGTCATGATGGGTCCCGCTGAGGCCAACCACATCTCAAAAGTTTCAATATTCAATAGTCGATCGATGTCATTCATGTCGATCCTCTTCAGTGTCAGTGTCCAAGTTTCGATGTCCAAGTCTTTATATTGGCTTGTTTGGCCCTAGGCACTCCTTTTGCCCATGGATCACCACCACCGCCTCTGGCGCCGGGCTTGCGTCCACCAGTGGGGCCGCGGCCCTTGAGGCCCAAAGGATATTTCTCCTACAACGGGTGGCCCGTGATGACCGACGTTGGTTCATATAAGATCATTTTATGCTAATCACCGCTGCTACATGCTGCTACATCTTAAAGCAAGAGGGTCAACTACAGTAACTGTGACATAGGTAGATTCGTCCAATTGCATCGCAAGGACGCCACTAGGGGCTCCCGGCATCGCTACTAGGAGCAAGGAGGCTACTATTTGGGGCTCAAAAAGCACACAAAACACCTCAGCCCATGGGATCCCGTGGGCTGAAAAGCCACGGGATCAACACCCATCAGCCCTCCAGTCCCCCAAGTCAACGGCCACATTGGCCATGGAGGCCCACTCACCTGGAAGGTTCATGCGATCCATGTGTTTGGCTGGAAGGTACGACAAACACTGAGTGCCGAGCCATAGTTGGAGCCTCAAATATCGAAACATGTGTAGTGAGCTTCAACCACCTCTCTCTGCACGTGTGCAGTTGGATTCTCTGCAGTCACTAATTTCTCATGGAGCTAACTTTGGGTGAGGAACACACGTCATGGTCCAAGAGGAGGCTTTCGAACCAGTCGGCCCCCACACGCCAGTCAATGTTCAGGTAGAATACCAAGTATGACGCGGCGATGTAGCCTGGGGACACGTGATTCAAGTTCGTCAAGAAGTCAATATGACCTACTGTTGCAAATGACTCGGCCCCACATCATCTAGAGTCTAGAGTCTATAGTTCAGGACACCTGAGACCAGAAAAGCCGGGACTATCTTACCATATATGACCATGTGCAGTACCTAAAAATCACATAAAAACACTTATAAACAAAACGTCAAATAATGTCAAACATTGGCATTCCCAAGGCCCTGAATCTGCCCAAGCAACGGCCTCGATTGGCCATGAACCCAGTGGCTGCCAGCTCACGCATCAATGCATCAACCAGTGGCACTCCAGTCCTGTCAGAGACAAAACATGTGGTTCATTGGCTGTTAGCTATGCAGCCAGTTCAAGGTGAATTTATCATAGAAAAGGTCGTACTCTTCTAGAAGACATTCCTTTAGTAGATTATATTTAAGAAACATACCAGTACTGCAACCTGGCTTCCCAAGGTTTGCAATGCTGAAAGAACAGCAAAAATCATATCAAACGGAGTGAAGATCCTCTCCTGCCAGTCTTCCATCTAGTCTCCAGTTCTGCATCTCGCTTCCAGGGCCTCTGGCGCCTTGCTGGACCGGAGGGGAAGAAGACCAAGCGACCGAAATGAGCACCTTGGTCTTACGAGGGAGCGGAACAAAATGGAACAAAAAGGAATGCCTCATACAATCCAACGCAAGATATGACATAGGGAGCTTCAAAGGGAACAAGTAGGGAACAATGCTTTTACCCTGCCGAGGCTCAATAAAAGTGAAAATAATCACGCCAGCAGAGTTGAAACATGAACTTCTGAACCTCAGGAGGTTGAGTCTGACATCGCTGAGTCGTCAAAAACCAGCAGGAGCTTTGCACATGCAGGTCGCGGTGAAGCCAAGACACATGATCGAAGCCGCGATCCTTTCAGGGAATCTGCGAATCCGAAAGAAGCCACGGACCGCAAGGCCGTACAACTGCAATCCACAACATACACAACTAGTGCGAATTATTCTTCTTTTGTTGTCTTATTCTTGCTAAGTCCCTGGTCCTTACCATGCTCACGCTCGAACCTGAGCATAATAAGAATGACCAGTGGTCTGAGGAGCAAAAATTGGTAGTGCAGCGAGAACACTCAGGTCTGAGAAAAACAGTTGCCTTCAAAAGTCCCTGCAGTGGCTGCCTCTTGTGCCAACATGCGCCAACTAGGTCAGCCGTGACACCTCTCAGCTCGCCAAAACACGGTGCGTGGTGATAAACAACCAATGGCCATCCAAGGTGAAAGGCGGCTACTGCAGTTCACATGGAGTTGGTTGCGAGTACGTTGATAGCTCCCGAGTCCTGCAGGTCCACGTGGAGGGCGGAAAGGTGTCAAAGCCGCGACACATGGCCAGAAACTCATGACTGACCAAAGCCACTACATCAAGATTTACAGGTTGATCAGCAGTGGTCAGCTAGCCTCCTCTGGTGCAATAAGCTTCAAGCTGTTGAAGGGCTGCATCCTCTCCACCTTTCCAGTGAAAGTCTCCACTGGATAGCACAGGCTCCTGCAACGGGTGCCCAAACTAAACAAATATATCAAATAACTAATAACTACTGTAATTAATACCTCACTAGGGCTCCAAAAAGTTGCCTGACGGGTTGACAGCTTTAATGAGTGTCACAGGAAGCCCTCAAACACAGCTCCAATCCGAGCTGGTTGTCTCTCCGTACTCTCGAACCGATGCAAAGTCCAAACACTCAAATCCCAGTGCAACCAAGTCGCGGTGCCCATGGCTTCCAGCAAAGTGGTAGCTTGTGGTGACACTACCTCGCGAGAGAAACAGGTCGATCCTGTAGCATTGATATGGCTTCGACTGGCAGGAGCCACGATTTTGGCCATTACACTAGGCTTAGTACACAAACAGCCACGATTCTAGCCATTACACTAGGCTTAGTACACAAAGAAACATGAGGGTAGCGACCCCCAAACACAAGCACACAAAGCTTCTAATTGCACTAGATCATGCTTTTGGGGCATTGTTCTGCACTTGTGACAAGCAAATGACACTCCAAAGGCATGACAAACTAACGTCCAAGAAAGGTGCAGCTACCCCTGCTATGTCGTCATCTGCAGGTGGTGGCGGCAAATCGCCTTTGCCTGCCAACATTCAAGAATCACCAGTGATGACGTGCAATCACTTTGATGTATCTCCCACGCACTTGACCATCTCAATGATGGTGCATGTGTAATTGAGCTGACATGCGTACAGTAGTTGAGCTGACCTGCTCACTTTGGGGCTCTAAAAGGCTGAATCTGTTGCGATCTTTGGCTGTTTCTCCAATGGGCCTGGTGTTCTGAGTTCGCATCTGGGCCGCACTTGGCCACATGTCTCGTGGTAGAACTTTCCGAAGGGCAGTGGCAGCCATGCTTTAAGGTCCTGAAATGGGTGGGCGCATGTGGGCGCATGTCTAGAGCAAAGCAACACTTCGCCTGCCTTCCCTAATGCCTTTCCAGCCGCCGTATGCTGCCAAGGTTCAAAACCCAAATCATCTCGGTGATGCAAGGTCTGGCCTAACTTGCGCAGCGACAGAAGGTCTATAAATACAGGGGAGCTGCAGTTATACCATGTTTTACATTCTTGTGCCTGTGCCACCAAACTTTTCCATATGCATGTACATATTCAATCATATTCAGATTCATAATTATAGGCATTGAATTCAAGCGGCCACGAACGTGATAGCACAAGCTCAAACCATCTTTAACCGAAGTTACGTCGGTCAAGGTGCATGCAGCAATGCTCGAAGTGAGCAAACTCTGCTTGCAACTGTGCAACTGTCCGATTTCTCCGGTATATGAGTCAACAGGTGCCTTACTAGTAGTAACAGGTGCCTTACTAGTAGTAACAGGTGCCTTACTAGTAGTAACAGGTGCCTTACTAGTAGTAACAGGTGCCTTACTAGTAGTAACAAGAAGCTATTAGAAACAAGTGCATCGCTAGTAGTAACAGGTGCCTTACTAGTAGAAAATATGGGCAACTCAACCCTGCATGGAGCAGTTTTTTGCAAAACTGCGAGACCTTTTGTGAATGACCATCGGATGCAAGCCCAACTGCCCAAATGCGAACCTCAACCCCAAGGCCATCTGAAAATCCAGCCCCCAAACAGCCCGTTTGCAAACCGTATGTACATTCCACCAGCACAAGTAAATGCAAAGCCTGGTTGCCGAAGTGATATTTCACGTCGACTCCTGGACTCAAAGCTGAAGTGACAGCCTGGAAGGGCGTAGCATGGCGGGCCCAACGAATGCCGCTTTCCAATGGCACACGGGACAATAAAGTGCAGCCCTAGCAACGAATTCCAAAATAGTAAAACAAAAACATGATGCTTCCTGGCACCTACGTTGCACCAACGTGTTTCAAGCAGTTCATTGGAAAAAAAAGGCGTCCCTTGATTTCGAAAATGTGGTAAGAAGGCTGACCGATGCCAGTCAGTCAGTGCAAGCCACTGGTCAGCATGAATGGGCACAGTATGGTACAGTCGGCATTGCAAAGCACCAAAAGGCCAAAAGGAAGATAGGCATTTCAAGCACTGATCCTTCAACATTTCCAACAGTTGAAAAACATTGACATAATTTGACCATACATTGAACTGGAAAAAAATCAAACGAGTGTTCTACAGGCGCCCTGGAATTGCTTTATGTGATTTGTTTAGGGGGTCAAATTGCTATGAATAAGCTATTCCAGTTGCAAAACAGTTTCACCACTGAACTATTGATTTCATTCGAAATTCCTCCTGCTCAGCACAGGAAGAGTGCGAAGAACAACCTACAGAAAAGGATATCTTTTTGATGTCCTCCTGATTTCCTTGCCAAACTCGACTCAGCAAAAGGAATTGCTTTGTTTGGCGGAGCTCTTCATATAGACACTGTTGACAAATGCCGTAGACGATACGCAAGAAGCATTTGGAAAAAAAAGCCCCAAAAGTGATTAGTGTTCATGTGGATTCATGTGTCGTTGTTTCATTGCGACTCGCAGTTGATAACTCTTGACGAGTCCTCTTGCCTCCTCAACTTGCTGCTCATCGTGGGTGTCCTCGGCCTCAACTGCTGACTTGAACCCTCAGTGACATAGCGCTGATTTACTTATCCACTAGGACAGTGAAAAAAGATCGTCCTATTGGCTAAGAGGAGTTGAAATCATTAGGCTCATGTGTCAGAAATTGCATTGTGAAGTAATTACTCCGTGGCATGCCACTATGCCGACGTGCTGCCTGGTATATCAGCAGCGAACCTGGAGATAGAAGTCCTGGCAGCACCTCACAGGGAGAGAACTTCTGCCAAGGAATCCACTATATAATATTCATAAACGGCTGCCCCTGTGATCCATGTGGAAGTTAAGCTCTCAAGGCCATATTCATGGCCCCTCTCTAAGCTGCAAAGATCGCAAAAGGCTAGAATCTCTCACCAAGCAACGAGAGGAACAAACTTATACAGTAAACAAAACAAATCAGATGTGCCTCTTCTGGGGCGCCTGGAGCCACGTAAAGCTTAGAGCCGATCTTGCACAAAGAAAGAGACAAGGCCTGGCATCCCCACGGGCCCACAACGTAGGGGCCACAGAGTGCAACCCAACCAAAAAACAGCGTCCAACATGACTTCACATGCATACACCTGAAGTAGTGCATGCAAAACTTGTACACCTTGGGTGGTCAAAATATTGTTGGCAAGATAATGCTCCATATGCACATTCAACGGGACCAAACAATTGCGCCTCCAAGGACTCTGCAATGAGCTGGCTCCTTGCGACTCACGCTCTTTCCGAAGGGAAACAACTTGTGGGCTGTTGCCACAATTCCAACTAAGGGCTTCAAACGGCTATACAGTTAATTATATAGAGATATACAATTCAAATGTGGAAAGCAGGTCACACCCAAAAACCTGACCACGCACACCTCGATGACGCACCTGTGGGCGCCACAGCGCTTGTGGCTTCCCCAAGGGCTTTCTTGATAATGACGAGGATCGAGGCAGTACCTACGTATCGATAGTGGCAAACATGCTACACGTTGGGGGAGAATGGTCTTAACACATATGGCCGAACAAATCTATCAACGTCGCCGGAGGCCAGTCATGAGGCTCATGATGATCCCCCAAGAAGGCCTCAACACCCCAGTGCAACTGAGGTGCACCACGATTAGCTCAGCAGCACCCTGCATTGCTGCAGCACAGAATGCCTCCTGAGAGCATTTGCACGTCCAATTTGTGGCAAATGCTTAGGAGGCTTTCTTAGTCCCCAGTGGTTGAGCACTAGACCTATGTTCCAGCAGCCTCACACTACAAGACCTCTAAGACTCGAAGATCTGGGTTTGACGATGTAGTCTTAATTAAATGTCTTTAGTCGAAGAAGCTTCATTAGATTTCAATACAGTTCGGGAAGTTCTCTGAGCGATCTGGACTTGGTCAGGGGAGCCAATTGATTAACTTCACCCAATATCCTTTTTGCCCAGGAGTGCGCGGGAGGAGGGCAGCCCCAGCCCATTTTGGGGCTGAGCTGCACGCTTCCTTTGGCCTGCATGGCTTCCCAAGGCGCCTCACATAGCTTCACAAGGCTAGGCAGCTAGGCCAACACTAAATGAAGACTTACCACACGTTTGACCCCTCCAAACACTTCGCATGCCACATGTCGAGCAGGATGATCTTCAAGACTTCCCGGAACTGCTGCCTTGAAGCCAACGCAAATGGAGCGCCACAAGAGCACACGACCTCGTCGGGGTCGGTAGCGAGCGCCGAGGTTGGGAAACTCGGTATAACCGCCCTGGAAATCCTCATTGAGATAGATGAGCGCTTGACATGCCCAGCCACTGTCGACATGTGCCTTGAAATTGGCCTTTTCGAAGTACTGTAGAACACGAAGATCCTGAGAAGGCCTGGCCAAGGACATTGTCAAGCATGAGTGAAGGCGACTTGAATTGAGAAATGATCAGCACATTGACGTACAAGCTATTTCAATAATACTATCTATACATATCTATACATGTTTAGTGTGCACATACATGTTATAATTACTGTAGTACGGTATATATATATATAACATGTAGCAAGCACTGTTCACACATGAGCAATGGAATCTATGTTAAACTATATATCACATGGACCTTCCTTACCTCGTTTCTCCAATCCCGCATCGTTTTTGGTGTGTGATCTCGTTCTCCATTCCTGTATCTCGTTTTGGTGTGTGGATACCAATCTCGTTCTCGAGAGGTGTTCCTACCTTGTTTCACAAGCTAAGCATGTCGTTAACCAAACCATTTCAAACAAATGGCGCATTTGATGCCCATCTCGTTCTCGGGGTGTTCCTACCTCGTTTCGCCAACTAAATGTGACATTGGGTTATAGAAAAGGAACGCCCCTAGACTAATCTTCACTACCGCAAATAAAAGCCGTTGCTCACATGTTCACATGTCTGTCATTGTGTTTCTTCACTTTCTGTCAAGGGCCCAAGTCAAACATGTCAAACATATCCTTGATCCCTGCCTGGCACGGCCAGACTTCCCAGCTGCACGTTGTATCCATCCGGGCCAAGCAAGAGGAACCTCTTGAATGCATCGTTGGTGCAAGCGATTATAGACATCACGCTCCCCCTCCGGTAAAGCCTCCCGACGGATCAGTACAGAAACGAGGCCTCCACTCAAAGCTTCACCATACGCGGCATCGCCACGTGACTTGTCCCCTAACTCTTCTCGACGCATGTGCAAACTGTCGCAAAATCGCAGAAACTCCTCCTCGATTTCAAAGCTGTGAACAAAACCCGTCTGGTCCATCACCGTCTCATCCGGCGATTCTTCTCTCTCTCGCAGGGCCGGGGAAGAAGCCTTCAGTGACCTCCATTGCAACTTCCGCAAGGAGTTCCAAGCCTCCCCACCATCTTCAAAGCGAAGTAAGAATTTACGGCCTCCCTGAACGATCAGGGCTTTGAACCACAGCCAAGCATCTGCAGATTCTGGGTCGATGCTAGCACTGGACGCGTCTGCACTGTCTGACTGGCAAGGCCATCGCACCTCAATCCAGTCACCAACTGCTGGAACCAAATCCATTGACCAGCGGCAGCGGCAATGATTTTATGACCTTACCCTCTCTGATCTCTGTTCTTACCGGTTCTTACCCATCACACATACGTCACATACAGTATATCCAACAGCTGTGCACATGGAGGTCATAGGGGAAATTATTGTCATGATTGGGTCCAACGCACATAGGCAATACGAGACTACGAGTCATAAATAGGCCAGGTAAGGTTTTTGGTATTATAGATACAACAAACCACCAAATGCAGGCCGCGCCTCATGACGTGGTAGATTGTTGAACATATGTACATATAGTGTGTATATTATGTATATATAGTAATACACATATCGATATATATATATACACATTATTTTATGTGTATATTGCTATATGGTCATACTATGTACATAAATACGAACCACACATAACTCCAGGCCAAGGTTTGAGCCAATAAATGGGCAGCATGAAAGCTGAGACGTGGTATCCGATCACAAACTGGTGCACTACTGTAAGTATGTATTCTTTTCAAATACGTGCTTTTCATTGATTTTCTGACCATGACATCTAACTGTTGTAGCCGGAACAGCGGCCACAACAGTTAAGAGGCCACAGCGGCGGGGCCCCTCTACTGATCCACTGTAGATGTCTTTCGTCGGGGCATAGGAGCAAGGCTCATTGTCATGCAAGCGCAAATCATTGCGAAGCCATACCACCACACGGCGTGCCATGAAAAAGGCTGCGCAACAAATTCTGCAGGGGAGTGCCTGCGCACGAAGCTCTGTTGTTCATGGTGACCCCGCGAATATGGTGACCCCATCAAATGTCGTGGGCTCAAGGCACCCAAAACACATTGTAGATTGTGCCATCGCAACAATTGTAGGATAGTCCTTGACAGTTCTTTCTTGGAGTGGCACTTCTTCCACGGGCATTCTCTTCTTCTCAATCTGTGACCCATTTGGAGCCGTGCACCGCCAATGAATTGCCGCATTGATAGCTGATCCACAAACTGCGAAAGGTGGTGCAGCTTGAGTCTTCCAAGAATCGTGTCTTCCAAAACCAGAATCGTAAGCTCAAATGAATTCTCTGAGCTAAACTGCTCAGAAATGGCTACACTCTATATTCTTTAGCGAGTGGTTGAGACTAACTGGACTGTTTTTGAATGAATTCTTGCCGCTTGCGGCGCACCACGGAAGCCGTGCGCGATGAACTTCCGTGCTGAGCACCCAACTCCCCGAGCCTCATCTCTGCACAATGGGACACCTTCAAAGGAACATGTATGTGACTGTGCCCGACAAGAGGAAAGGCATTCAGTCAAGAAAGGAGCTTACGGACTTCATGAGCTGGCTTGTCCTGCTCAAAGCTTTCCACTGGTTCCTAAGAATTTCGGCACAATTAGGTTCTATTCGGCACAGCAAGTGCAGCAAGATTAAACAAGATTAAACAAGTATAGAAAGCTTCACCGAGATCAGCTTTGTCGCAAGATTCTAGCCAAACCATGACCAAACCCAGGGAGATCTAGCTTTGTCGCTCACACACTGCCCACGGCGACGTCGTTCCTTCTTTTTCCATCGTGTGACATCGTCGTGGCCGGTGATAGACGGCAGTGGGCTGCACTGACTGCACCATGTTGAGATTGTCAGCTAGAGTTCAAGGTACACGGGAACGATATCTAAATGCTGTAAATGCACGGTGTCCCTACGTGTCACCATGTGTCACCCAAACATCTCCAAAACACGGACAATGACATAGCTCAACTGCACTCGGGTTCCAAGCATTTTGGTGGGTCAAGAATGTCTTGAATGATTCTGTACCGTGTTAGCTTCTTGCTGGCCTAGATGGGTGCACGGTGCGGACGCTCGCCCAATGTCGCACCCGACATCCCTGTCGCGCTATCTTCGTGCGGGATGTCTGGCATCCATCGAGGGTCATCCATCGGGCCGAAGTCTTTGAAATCGATTCCTGTGAAAGGAATGCACAAGTTGCTCCTCTTGGACCAAGTTTGTTGGTCAACAGTTATCACTGAGTCAACACCAAAAAAAAATAAACATGTCAAAACAACACTATGTTGTTTTGCTTATGTATACTTCAACCTGACTGCAGGAAACCTCCTGAACCAATGCATAAGCGAGGTCTTCAACTAGTACAGTGCGCAAGCGGAAACCCATTGTACAAGAACTGCCAAATTGCAGCAGCCTTTAAGAGTTTTGTAGGCTTACTTGGATCTGATCTTTTGGGTACCTCTCACTGTGTTTGTGAATGACCTGATGGTGTGATACTCAATAATTACTCAGCACCTCGAGCTGAGACATGTCTATATACACGTACATTGCTGTGAGGGACCAGCGCTTTACAAGGCCTCTCACAGCAGGAGCGCCCCAAAGAACCAACAGCTGACACCCCCGGAAAGTTGTGCCAGTGACGGCTGATCTTCAACGCAGGGCTCACCGCTTAAAAACCCAAAGCCCGAAGGCGAGGCCGGGCACAGGACATGCTTCAGCATAAAAAAGTACCACCGTCCTGAACTGCAGTATGGGATTGGGTGCAAACCAAGCCATGAATGTAACTTATATAACTATATATATATATATGTAGAGTAACCTATATATAGCTATCTATATTGCAAGTATGTATGATTATATATATATATATACACTTATACTTGTGCTTATTCACCCAAACCAAACAATACGGACTCTTTTTCTATTCACTGACGCTGTTACTTTGTGGTGGAACGTTCGGCACCGAGCTGCCCTGCCCCGTGTGGCCCTCCAACCCACTCTGAAGCCTACAACTCACCACAGGCGGGCTTGACGGGCCATCTCTAAGCTGCTCTGGGCATGCCGAGGATTACCTGGGGCTATTGGGGAGCCCTGGAGAGACCGCTGGGCGCTCCAGAAGCGAGCGTGTGCGCTCGTGAAAGTTCATGAAAGGTTGCACTTCTGCGAAGTTTTCCTTGGAAGCCGAGCTAGAAAGAGTGATGAAGTAAGGGTGACTGTTTCAAATTAACTTTTTGCTAAGGCAAACTGGTGCAGCGAATGGTCAGGGCTTAACGTTCAAGCCCAGGCCAAATTCTGATGCCACCATCGCCAATCTTCAGAGCTTTGTGATGTTTATAGTACCTCAGTCTACGATGCGATGCCGGCTACAGCCGAAAAGCACTGCAGCACCTCTGTGGGACAGCGCATATGGTGTCAAAAATTGAAAGCTGCCTCTACTTGACCGAGTGACAAAACAACTGAGGCCAACTTGGCCAACTTGTAATTATGTGATATCTATTATGTGCCGCTGCCTCACGGCAAGTGTGCTTTCTACTCCAAATGGGGGGTCATTCAAAGCCCAGGCGACGTGCCACCAGGACAATCATGATCGATGCGGCGGCCGTAGTTTTGCAAAAGGAGCTTGTCCTCATGATGGAGGCTCACCTGAATGCCGAACCACAAAATGTGTGTGTGTGCCAAACATTTTTTTGCAAAGAACGCACAACGAATGTCTTATATGTTTCACAACAGTTTAACACTGTATTGGTCAAATCGAGTCTCTCTCTCTTTCTTCATGCCAAATCATTGTATATTATATATATATAATTACTTGGATGATCTTGGATGCACCTTCACTCAGGACTTATATATGCTTCACTGCATCCAGCTGCAAAGGGAACCTTGGTGTCTAAATTGGTGCTATGTGACGGGATTGATGTTGAGCTTTTCGCCCAAACACACCCTGCCGTCCGGCAAGGCCTCCTGGCGAGAGCACATTCGCTGGTTGTAACGTATGAAAAACTGTGCCATGCTGCTGGAATTTAAGGTTTCAAGGGCTCTTCAGATATGCATCCTATCAATCTTCAACAGCCAAACATAATGAATCTGTTTTGTGACTGCTGAGCAGCATGTTGCGCCTGAATTTCGTGCACCTGTCCCTGGAAGACCACATATTTGAAGTCCTCCACCTACGGCCACAAGAACACAAGCAAATGTTGAAAAGCGATGTGAAGCGAACACAAATCCCGAATATTTCATGCAGCCACCGCTTGTGGACAATCATAATTTCAATGACAAACATTTACTTTACACAAACCGCCCATAAATGGAACCATAAATAAACAAACCGCCTAGGTACACTGGTAGGATAGCCGGGTTGGGGCGATTGGCATCCCTGGGCCACGGGTGCGCTGTGGTTACGTTAGGTGGTGTTGTCATAATGTTTGTTGTCCTGCTGTTGCGCTTGTTCTGGCATGTTGTCAAGTACAATGACATGTGATGTGGTTATGCTTGGTGTTGCCGCTGTGTGTGTGTGTGCATTGCTTGCCGTCTGTTGTAGTTTGTGTGTGTAACCCTTGGAGTCAAAGCAAACCTTTAGGTTTGGAACAGGGGCGTACGGCTCGTCATACCCACCGTACGCAATGAAGCTACGGTATGACGAGGGATGGGTGGACTGATCATCCACCTGTACCTGTTCCACTATTTAGGAAAACAAGAGGAAATGGTACTCGACACACTTGTGTGTCGGTGCCTTTCCTTCTGTTTTCCTCTAGACTACTCTACAGGTTTGCAGGTAGGCCTCCCAACTTTGTAAGGGGTTCTCTAACCTGAACTTTGTCCTCCACCCACTAGATTGGCCCCCAACCTTGCTGTCTTGCGCTTCTTGTGTTTTTGTGCTGTTTGTATCCTTGTAGCACTGGCCTCCAACTTGGTACCCTGGCGTCTACCCACTAGCGAGGACCTCCAACTTTGGCCGTCTTGTTTTTTCTTGTGCTTTTGTAACCTTGTAGCACTGGCCTCCAACTTGGTCCTCGTCGTCGTCGTCGTCCTAGTAGTAGGTAGCAGCAGCAGCAGCAGGAGTAGTAGTAGTAGAGTAGGAGTAGGAGTAGGAGTAGGAGTACCCTGGCCTCCACCCACTAGCGATGACCTTCAACTTTGCTTCTTGCTGTCACTTTGTGTCTATGGTCCACCGCCTACTAGCGATGGCCTCCAACCTTAGGTCTTGGCCCTCAACAGCCCTGCATTGACCTCCAACCCAAAACCGATGACCTACTATTTCCTGACATCTCAGGCCTTCTAAATAACTTAGGCTGGCGTGTGGCACCGCTGTCAAGTCAGTACGCATGTCCATACGTGTGCCCTGCCTGGAGATGTACGTGTCCGCAGCGGACAGTAGTTGGCTCACGCCACCAGAACTCAGACTTTTGTCTCATTTTTGGAATTCCAAGTTGGCTTATGCCTTTACGTGACCGCAGCGGTCAGAGGTGGCCGCCCTCGGGCATGCCGTACGTGGTCGCAGCGACCGAAGTTTGTTCAAGGTTCATTGGAGCCTGTCGAGCACTTAGTCCCCCTCCTCCCCCTTTCTTTCTTTGCTTTCTGGATCTCTCCTTTCTTTCTTTGGTGTGTCCCTGGACGATTGTTCGTAGCTGGGAACACCTTCCTTTCTCTCCTCCCTTTCTCTCCCTCTCTCTTTCTTTCCTTCTCTCTTTCCTCTCTTCACCCTCTTCCTTGGGTGTCCCTGGATGCTTTCGTCATAGCTGGGAGCCCTTCCTTTTTGGTGTGTCCTTGGACGCTTGCGCCGTAGCTGGGAACACCTTTGCTTCCTTCTCTCCCTCCTTCTCTTTTCCTCCTCCCCTCCCCCCTCTTTCCTCGCGCGCGGCGTATTTACAAGCAAAATAGGCTTTCTGCAACAAGTTTCTCAATGAGGTTTGGACTGTCATCGGTTTGTCCCCTTTCATTTGGTTTCCCTT